TTTTGTTGTTTAGTTTGACTGGTATTTCCCTATTTGTTACCCAAACAACAGTCCTCTTAGATACTACTTGCTTGGAGTACCATATACCTATATAGTAGTTTGAAACCTGACCTAGTTTGAAGAAACCTAGCTCAAACATCCCACCTGCAGAGATAATGGTTTGATCGCCAGAGAGAGATTTGCATGACATGATTAAGCTCTTTGGAAACAGAGTGTTCAAACACTTTTCAAAGTTTGAGTCCCAACATTTGTTCAAAATTGTATAAAAGATCAGTTATGGAAATTTGTGTTATATTCTTATATCAAAGATATTACAATTTGTTTCCTCACCCAAAAAAGAGAGGAAATATTCCTATTCAAATCTGGGTGCCCCCGGAGGCATCTTTTTTTTTTTAATATTATTTTGCAACTTTGCCACCAATGTGAATTAGGGTGGCATTGTTTGCAGATGACACCAATGCAATATTGGTAGCCATTGTTACAATAGAGTCCTCTACATAGGCCATGTTCTCTAGTTTAGTGGCTGCTTTGTGGCCATTTAGGTTTGCCACCAATGAAAGTGTCCACACTTGACAATAGACACCAATGAAAAGGGTGGCTTTTAGCCAAAATTCTAGTAGTGTTTGGAGTGCTACTATTATAAGGACGTGGTCGTTGTATCTTGGGAGACAAGAGCCGATCAACCATGAGCATCGTAGTGGGGCGTAAACGTGTCTTAATGATAGAGTGTCTAACACTTGCCTCAACAATATTTCCACATTTTTCAAATCCATTATGTCATGTTCATTTAACATTGATTACTCATGCGCATGCATTAATTTTGATATATAATTGCATGAATTATTTCTTAATTTTCTATGTGATTTAATATAGCAATAGACCATATTTTTCAAGTTCGTCTACCCAAGGAGATTGCCGGTATATTACGTACATATCATAACTGAAGAAGGCATCTACTTTTCAGTGTGTAGAAAAATATTCTTGTATGATTTATTTCATTCCCAATTACACAATATATAAGATACATCGGTATAATGGTTGATTACAATTGAATGGATTACACAACAAGATATGAAATAGCCAACTTTCCATTATTGACACCATCTTATTGATGATAGAGAGATTTGTTGTGATGATGGAGATGAGAGAATCCCGATGTTGACCTTAAAAACTATTTAGCCTACATGACGCACATGCCGAATAGTTAATAAGCTAACTACATCCATCGGTTGATTACAGGGCTTGCCAAATCGTCGGTCGAGCTTGGGCGGGGAGTGAATGAGTTGATGTGGCGTTGTGCGCGCTGATGACTTCTGAATCTTGTGACTGCGGCTGAAGAAGGAACACGTCTCAACCTTCGAGTTGTACAGCCTGAAGACAAGGCTGTTAGTTCTGCGAATTTCACGAATCGTGGGCACTGGGTTCAGCAATGGCGAATCGATACCGAATTGTAGAGGCACAAGTATTTTGAGATATGTGTCTTGATTGTAAATATGATTCAACTGTTTGAGTGTCGAACTCTGAAATGCACTTGTGAGTATCCTATCATATACTAAGTTCGGCCTTCAGTGTGCCAAACGTCGTAACTTGGTAACACTTTACTTCATTGAGAAGGCTAATAAGATGACCTTTTCCAACAAGGACTCAACAAATCCTTGTTGATCGAGACTTGGATAGATAACCAGTCGGTCGCGAAGAAATGTTGTTTATCCAAACTGAAGGTGCTCTTCAATAGGCTGATTCTACAGCTCCAGTGTTGTTTATCCAAACTAAAGATGTTGCCAGTTGCCAACATAATGTTGTTTATCCAAACTCAAGGTATATTGGTGTTAAAAAGGTAAAATAAAAATCTCAAGATGTGTGAGAGGTTTTGCATAGAGCGAGAGTTTACGCAAGGCAGTTTTGTGTGTTGGTCTAGAGGGGATCTTAACTTCCTGTTGCTTCTTTATTTATAAAACATATTTTCACCTTGGCACGACCTGACAATTTTGTAGAGTTCAATAGATTTAGATCCCATCTGGATCCAAATTGTAGGGATCCTATAGATCCAAATTGTTGGGATCCTAAGGATCTCCACGTCCTAGCCGTTCATCGTATATCGTGCAGTCAGAAATCTTTTTGAATGATGTAAGTATCTCTAAATCCCTAAAAAAAAAGATCTGAAAAGAATCCTCATCTGAGTTCAACTGCAACTCAAACCAGTAGAATTGATCTATGCCATAGGCTAAAGCCTATCCCCCAATCAAAAACTTATCACGTCACCAGAAAAAAAAACAAGTTTATCTCCATCAAATCACTTCACTGATCCAAGCCATGCATATTTCCGTTGATGAGACCGCGGAGAAATTATAGAGTAGTACTGTAGTACCACGTGGCAAGGCCAAATGGTAGTACTCATTAATCAGATTAAGAAACATTTAATTATGAGATAATAAAAATATCAGTGTTCTAAAAATCGGCCTAGGTAGCGCCTAGGCGCTGAGCGGTGGAGCTTTGACTCGATTTAGACCAAAACGTTCAGTTAGGCGGGGAGGACTTAGGCGGCCGCCTAAGCTCTTGCTAGGAGCCTGAGGCGGGCTAAGCGACGCTAGGCGACAATTTAGACGGTTTGAATCCTGCTGCAATTTTCGCAAAGGATCTACAACTTTCGATCTCGTACGTAGCAGCAGAGCCCCGGCGAATTTCTACAGCTCGTCTCTGTGAAGATGAGGGAAGAGAGAGTGCTATCAGCAAATTTTTGCAGCTCGTTTGTGAAGATGAGGGAATATAAAGTGCGATGAAAGAGAGAGAGACTTAAACATTTCAATGTGGTGGCACAAGTTGAGGATTGGGATCTCAAATCCAAGGTTAAAAGCTGATGGTTTTATTTATGAAAACCACCCAAGGTGGACGGTTGATGGTTTTAATAATGAAAACCACGCACTATGTGGGCTTTTTATATTTTTAAAAGTTTGGGATATATTATAAAGGTCGTACCCAGTGCACAAGGCTCCCGCTTTACGCAGGGTCTGGGAGAGGTGAATGTCGGCTAGCCTTACCCCCATTTATGGAGAGGCTGCTCCCAAGTCTCGAACCCGAGACCTACCGCTCATGGGCGAAGGCACTTGCCATCGCACCAAGTGCGACCTCTTGGGATATATTATATATATTACAAATTATTTAGATAATATTTTGTTTTTTTTTCCTAGGCAAGCATAGTATATACTAGAGAGACTCCCCAGTTCCCCCAACTTTTCCAGCTTCCTTCCGCTCCTAGATGAGCAACGCATGTACATCCAAACTCCTTCCCTTCCTAGATGACCAGCACGCATACATCCAACCTCCTTTCCTTCTTAGATGACCAACACACTGCATAATGGGTAAACCAGTAAATTCACTGTGCAAAATGGAAAATACGGGCTAATATCAAAGGAATTGGAAGGCATTTTCGTCCATTCACTGTTAATGAACAGTGTTTTTGTGTTGGGTTTTAGTATATGTATAATGTACATAAAACCTTCACATATGTATGTTCTTCTATAAGAAATAACATATTAGTCAATAATTAGTTACTTTTGATATAGTAAATTTAATTAATTTATAAAATATATAACAAATTTACCTAAATCCGTCTAGGCCGCTAGGCCGCCTGTCTAGACCCCACCCAACCACTAAGTGCCAACCCGCCGTCAGACTAGCGCTTAACGTTTTTTAGAATCTTGAAAAATATTTATAATTGTTTAATTATTTCATTAACTATCAATAAATCTGAAACCTCTCCGGCTTCTTCTCTCTCCTCTCTGTTCATCGAGAAATCTTTAACTTCATCTCTTTCTTCTTCGTCTATCTCCTCATTGCCTCCTTTCTGTCGCAGAACTTCGTCCTCCGTGCGCTCTGCCGGTGAATGACTACTGATCAAAATTTAAATGAGACTTTTGAACCAAGGAGGTCCCTGTTCGAAATGAGTTCGGCTTTCGTCACTGTTAAAATTTAAATGGGAATGAGAGAGATGAGTTCGATGTCCTTCCTTCTGTTGTTTAGATTTATGTCAGAAGTCAGAATTATTCATTTTGTTTCGATCGTTTGTCTGTAAAACGTTCACCAAAATATTGCATATTTTGAATGACCGGCCGACGAAATTAGATCCTCTCCGGACCAATTTCATATGGACCCTCTGGACCATTTAATCCCGACTGTTCACCATAGAAACGGCGGTGAGGACTAAAACTTTTTTTTTATTTTAACTCTTCGCTCACCACGAAACAATGAAAACAAGAAATTAAAAGATGAAAATTGAAACACTTTTCAGATTCTTTGCAGCTGAAAATCAGTGAAAGGATGAAAAATTGTATTTTTGGATTTGTAGCAATCTTGAAGGTTTGGAAAATTGAAATAGTTTTCAGATTTTTTTTGCAGTTGAAAAATAGTGGAAGGATTGAAAGTTGTAGATTTGCAGCAACCTTGAAGGTCTGGAGCTTTTCTTCAATGAACGTCCAGAGCTTTGCTTCAATGAATTGTCTTGTGGGAGGAGAGAGAAGACAACAGACGAAGTTGAGGCGGTGAAGAGTTAAATGCATTATTAATAAATTATTAACTGATTATTCAATTTATCTTTCCACGTGTCTTAATATGATTAGTAAGTACTATCATTTGGCCTTGCCACGTGGTACTACAGTACCACTTTATAATTTCTCAAAGACCGCGTGCATGCACTATGATTCCTTCGTCAAATTAAACTCTGACATTTCATTCGAATTGATGTAATGTAATCACCATATCTCAAGATAAAGTTACGTGCTACAACCACCACAATCACTCAAACATGTTCATGAATTCCAAGCCAATTTGAATACTACCACTACTTCCAGAATTGAGATATGACTTTGGGCTTTGATAATAAGCCACGTAGGAGATTGCATGCACTGGGGCTTGATGTGATAGTGTATTCGAATGTCTTCACGCAATCTTTGAAAATTGCACACGTGCCCACTTTTTATTCCCATGCATATTTATGGATCTCTCTTGCATGTATATTAACCGTTTATGGATCTCTCTTGCATATATATGCATATGTACACGTTGTCGACTCCAGACTTCCTTCATATATCCATAGTCATAGATTCAATTTGCTGAAAAATTCTAGATAGTTGGCTCATCTGTCTACACCCACGAAACTAGAAGGTGATATTTTCTTGCTTAATTGTATCGCTTTGTTTGTAGGCTTTTGTTTTCTGTGATCCAGATGCTTTATTATACTAACGTTTCCTTGGCTCTTCGCCTCTGTTGAGGGATCTTGTTTTTCTTGTTTAAGTTATGCATATGTAAGCTAGACTAGTTAGACGATAATTTGAAATCTCTCTACTCGTAAATTGGATTGGTTACAAAAAAAAAATTGTCTTGTCGTAAAAGCTAATTAATAAAAACCGATATTGATTTGGCTTTTTGGATGGTTTTTTTAAGGAAATAATTTAATCAATGGATGGGATGGACTTAACACCCGAGTCAGCTCAAAAGTTGTTTGAAGGAGACGGAGGAGCATATTACATTTGGTCGAGTTCAGATGCTCCGGTGCTTGCTGAGGCCAAGGTTGGTGCAGGCAAGCTTGTTCTTCAACCTCATGGCTTTGCACTTCCTCACTATGCAGATTCCTCCAAACTGGGATATGTTCTTCAAGGTAAGTAATAACTAATTAACTACAGCATGCAAATACATATATAAATAAATGCATTTATAAATATCATGTTCACGTATGAGAGATTTTTTTTTTATTACGTCTGGAACACGAGAGAATATTAATGTCACTGGAAAGTTTTTTTTATTCAAGTGTCCATCCAATTGTAAAATAACATGTAGTGTTCTGTCTCGTTTTTCTAGTACACTAAAAAATCTCTTCACCTACATGTTTGCCTATTTTAATTAATTTGTTTTTGTAATTAAGAAAGATGGAAAACAAAACTTTGTTATTTGTTCATCAATGCCCTTATTGTATAACTAGCTATATGATGGAAAACAAAAGTTTGTTATTTGTTCATCAATGCCCTTATTATATAACTAGCTATATGATGGAAAACAAAAGTCATACTTAACTTGCTAGACTATAATGCTTATATTATTGTTGAAGATCTTAATTAGCTCTAATGGTGATGCAGGTGATGATGGATTAGTAGGAATGGTATTCCCTAACACATCAGAGGAGGTGGTGGTTAAGGTTAAGAAAGGAGATGTGATACCAGTACCAGTTGGAGCAGTCTCATGGTGGTTCAACAATGGAGATCGCTCTGAGGAGCTTGTTGTTGTTTTCTTGGGTGAAACTGCCGGAGCTCACATTCCCGGCCAATTTACGTATTTTTTGATTGCCGGAACCCTAAGTCTACTTGCAGGTTTCTCAACTGAATTTGTCAGCAAGTCCTTCAACATCACCGAGGACGAAGCTGATGACATCACCGAAAGCCAGACTGGGGTTTTGATCATCAAGCTAGGTCAAGATGAAAAGACCAAAATGCCCCTTCCCAATCAGAAACTCACCCACACACATGTTCACAACATTACTAGTAGTAAAACTACGGCCACATTGACTGAGAAGGAATTCCCTCTTCTTAAAGAAGCTGGGTTAAGTGCGAACCTCACGAAACTCGAGGCCGACGCAATTAGCTCTCCAATTTACGCACCTGATTCCACAGTCCAGGTGATTTATGTTGCTCGAGGGAGTGGCCGGATACAGATTGTGGGTGTTAACGGTCAATGTTTGTTGGACGCAGAGGTAACTGCCGGCCAACTGCTTGTGGTACCAACGTTCTTCATGGTTGCTAAACTTGCAGGACAAAATGGGTTGGAATGTTTCACTGTCATCACCAGTTCTCAGTAAGCACATTGAGCTGTCACAACACCACTACTTTAATTTCAATAGTACCTTTTTTTTGTCTATTTATTAAATGAATTCATTTCCATAATGAAGTACAAATGATTTCATTTGGACACACAAACAAATTGATGCGCATATTAACGTACTCTATAATTCAAGTAGATCTCACGTATAATAGTATAATCCATTTGTATTAAAAAGGGAGAAAGATTCTCTCGCCTTTTAATCTCTCTCCCATTTCTTTCTCTCCTACTTGAACGGTTATGATTAAGTAACGTCAACATCTTATATTTTATTGATTGTTTTATAGAGACAATAAGACAAAAACTAATATGTGAGAGGAGGGGAGGAAAATGGATGAGAATAGAAGGGAAAGTAATTTCAGTCTATTAAAAAGTGTGTAAGTGTTGTATGTATAAATAGTTTTATTGCTGAACATTATTGTTGTGCAAAATACTTTAATTTCAGTAAGAATAAATAATATCGAAATGTCACAACAACACTACTTCAATTTCAGTAATATTTTTTTTTCTTTTCTTGATGAAATTATTTGGAGACTGAATTATTGCTGTATGAAACACTGTGTGTATATATATGTGTGTGCGTATATTAATATAGGGATAACATAATTGGTATTATTTTTGCAGGCCTGTCCTGGAAGACTTAGCTGGAAAGACGTCAGCACTGGGAGCATTATCGCCGGAGGTACTACAAATAGCCCTTAATATAAGTCCAGGGCTGGAACGACTTCTCAAGTCAAAGATTAGAAAGGGCTGATCGATCATGATCAACGGTTCAACGGCCTAATAATTTATCTTATATATATTAATAAGCAGATCATCATGCATGATATATTACTGCAATGCAAGAGTGCGGTCGGATCTTTCTGGTTATCTTTATTTTTATGTGATTTTCTTGAATAAAATTCTGCGAATGGATTACGGACGTGACAATGTAAGGATTCAGTATTAATAAAATAGGACAATAAAACTCCTAGAAAAGTAAAAGACTTCAGTTAATACTAGAAATATAATAAGCCACAAATTTAAAGCAAGATACATGCATTATAGCTCTAAAAATGCATATATTTTTTCATATCATTCTAATCCCTTGATGCCATAGCTGCCACTAATTTTATGCAATAATGATCTTGGTCCATGGCCTGCATCAGGTCGCTAGCATCCTCTTTTCCTAATTACCATAGCAGTTGTTATATGACTTCATATAACAACTAGGTTGGAGCTAAGGTGATGCAACCGAAATGCACACAAGTATTGTTTCATAGGAAAACTAATGAAAGGGGCTTGAAAACTTTGAGTTTTAACGATAAGGACAAAATAAAGGGTAAAGTGAATAGTACCATGATTGACTTTTTAGTGTAAAAATGTGGTTTTTCGTTGAAATGAACAGTACCGGGAGCTTTTCATTGAAGTTCCCTTGTTTCATTTCACAAAGCACCCTACTGAAGCTACTACGCATGTTAGCTATAGAGGTCCAATTTTCAAAAGAAAAAGCTGGCTACAATCATGTTAGCTACTCTACATGAACAAACACAATGCGTCTATAGAAAATATACATGCAATCTAATCAGTCTCCGGAAAATTTAAAGGGAGCAAAATAAATGTCAACATATGCTGTCAAACAGTTTCTTTTAGGAATTATATTGAACAGGTCGATCCTCCCCTCCCGTCTGTTTTAGCAATTTATCTTAAGGTCTCCGCTCTAAGAGCTCCCTGGTAACAACAGAGGAGCCGACCCACCACCCCGTCGCGCCAGGCTTTTTTGTTTCACAATAAAACCTGGACGATTATCCCTACCCTTGATAGCTTATGGGTTCACGTCCATCCCCGATTGGATACTTTTGTTTAAAGATACACGGTACTTTCTGCATTCAAACCGGCCAACAAAATCCAAAAGACCAGTCCGTGCTCACCAAACTATATATTCGGTCTCCATCAGAAAGACACCAATTGAGTTCTTGTACTGGTGTAACTGCAAGGATTCATGTGCACATCGTTCCAACCATTCAATTTTCAGTAATTACTAGGGAGTAGGATTCTCTCCCCTCCTATTCTCATCCCCTTCCCTCCCCTCCTCCCACACTTTGTTTTTTGTCTTATTGTCTTTATAAAAAAATCAATATAAGATGTTAACGTAGCTTAACTGTAACCATTCAAGTACCAGGGAAGGAAAGGGGAGAGAAATTAGGAGGGGAGAGAATCCTCCACCAATTACTAGTGCTCAACGTGCAAAAAATAAAATTGTACAATGTACATAACGGCCACCACTAAGTACAGAGTTCAGATTTAGTTCCCACTGAAATATTCCTTCTCGGCCATAGCGTGAAATGAAGCTCAAAAGAGTAACGCAGAGCCCAACTATATATGTTTACGATACAATATAGTTCTCATTGGCTAGAATTCTACAAGGATAGAACCGATGAAGGAGAGTTGGATAGAACCGATAAGAACTATGAAAGGTATGAGATAGCAAAGAATGAAGTAGAGAAAGCCATCAGCGAAGCGAAGCTAGCGGCTTTTGACAACATGTGTAAGCAATTAAATACTAAAGAATAAGAGTTAGATATTTATAAATTGGCCAGAACAAGGGAAAGGAAGACAAGACTTTAACCAAGAAAGGTGCATCAAGGATGAGAATGGAAATGTTCTAGCTATGGAGAATGCGGTTATAGACAGATGGATAGCTTATTTTCATAATCTCTTCATTGAAGGACACGACATGAGTACTTAGTTTTTTGGATGAGTTGAGTGACTCGGAAGAGTGTAGAATTACTTCTTTTACCGCTGAATTAGGAAAGAGGAAGTGGTTGTAGCTTTGAAAAAATGAAGCATAGAAAGCAGTGGGTCCAGAGATATACTGATCGAAGTGTAGACGGTCTTGGGAAAGACGGGTATAACATGGCTCACAAGCCTTTTCAATAAGATTTTAAAAATGAAGAAGATGCCCAATAAGTGGCAAGAAATCACTTTGGTGCCGATCTTCAAGAATAAGGATGACATATAAAATTGTATGACCTATAGAGGTATTAAGTTAATGAGTTATACAATGAAGCTCTAGGAGAGGGTAATTGAGCATAAACTGAGACACAGGCCTCAGAGAATCAATTCGGGTTCATGCCAAGGTGCTCGTCAATGGAGGCAATCTATGTGAAACCCCACCCCCAAAATAAATTGTAATTTCACATTTTCTTTAAAGTTATGAAATTACCTTTGTGTCCCTTATCTTTATACCCAATTCGAATCCTCTTTTTAGATTCTCATCCTCTCTCTGTTTGCCACGTGGGAGCCCCCTAACCCATCCTCTCATTCTCTCTTTTCTCCCCCGAACTCTATCTCAGCTCATTCACTCCATCTCACTCTCTTTCCCTTTCAGATCTCACTCACTCTCCTCTTCTCGTTTTCCCGGTGACACCTAAGGCTCCCAACGCCCAAATCGTGACACCCCAGCGACCTCACCACCACCACCCTCGTATGGACCTCATCCTCTCTCTCTCTCTCCTCTGTGCAGCAAAGAGAACTTAGCAAGCTTTCCCGATGAACCCGTGGACTTCGAAGCGTTTTCTGGCTAACTCTGGCCACCACTCGTCGTGAAAAGCCTTTTCGAAACAAGCCATTAGGCCATGCCAATCCAGGGCCTTCGGCCCGTTGAACCCCAAAGCCTTTAACCCAAAAACCCTAGGCCGGACCCTTGGACCCTAGGCCTTCGAGCCATGAGAACCTGGACCTTCGGCCAGTTGACCCTAGGCTTATGAAGCCCAAACCCTTAAGCCCAGAAACCCTTCGGCCCAAGCCCAAACCTGGTCAAACCCAGAACCCCGGGCCGCACGTGGGCTTATGTGTGGGCGTCCGTGAGGTCGAACGGCTGTCGGCGTGTGGAGCACACATACCCCCGTGGACTCACGGCGGCACGTGGCCACTGGAGCCGCCACTTTATGGCTGTTAGAATATATAGGATATGGAAGGTGTGGATCATGACACATGTAATCAGCCAAATAGAAAAGGCAGTTAAGAGTGTGGATGTTAGAATAATTAGTTAGGATTGTTGGTAAGTAATTGAGTTGGTTAAGGCAGTTAGCTAAGTACTCATCTATATAACAATTGTACCATTTGTAACAAGTATCAATCAAGAAAATAAGAAAAGCAATTCATTCTCTCTCTCTAAACCTTCTTTGGTTTCTTCTTTTTCCTCATCTGTGATTTTCTCTGTTCTCTTTCTGCATATTACTTAACATGGTATCATCGTCTTGAAAGCCATTCGAGCTTTCTCGATTCATGTGTTGCTTCCGCTACGATCTTAACACACCGATTCTTCTTCTTTCTCTAGAAATTTCGAGCTTCTTTCTTACCCAGTTCTCTGATTTCTTCTTGGTGAATTCTTGCACGCTAGGTGTTTGGTTTTTTGTCTCACTCAGATTCTTTCACAATGATCATTGCGAATCAGTTGCAAATCTTGCAATCACCGATTACCAACTTGATTTCATCAGTCTCTAATTCGGTTAAAGTGAAGTTGGATGATTCCAACTACCTTCAATGGCAGTTTCAATTGCAATTGATGCTCGAAGGCTATAGAATCATGGGGTTCGTAGATAGCACAAACGTGAGTCCTCTTCAGTTTTCTTCATTTGGGTCTCCTGATTCGGCACTAATCGGTGTGTCTTCAACCCGACAAGCTGAAAATAATGAATACAGGATATGGAAGATGCATGACAAGGCTCTCATGCAACTTCTTACTGCAACTTTGTCTTCCTCTGCCATTTTTTGTGCCATAAGCAGTACTAGCTCAAGAGATCTTTGGATTCGGCTTCAAGAACAGTTTTCTACTGTTAGTCGTACATCCATTTTCCAAATGAAAGTTGATCTTCATAACATAAAAAAGGGTTCTGATTCTATATCGATGTATCTTCATCGAATTAAAGCAACACGAGATTTTCTTGCAGCTGCCAGAGTTGTCTTTGCTGATGAAGATATTATGATTTTGGCTCTCAGTGGTCTTCCTACAGAATATAACACTATCAAATGTGTTATTCGTGGAAGGGAAAGTGTTATATCTTTCAAGGAGTTTCGTTCTCAGTTACTTGCAGATGAGGCCACTGTTGAGAACAATTTCTCTATGCCCTTTATGTTTGCTATGGTGGCCAAGAACAATGGTCAAGGATCACAAAGTTACTCTGTTAGGAACTCTTCTCGAAATGGTTTTCAGAATAATACTAAAACATTTAACAATGGGGGCAGTTCCGGATTTAATGGCCATTTTAGTCAATCTAGTTTCTTCAATGGTGAAAGGTCAAAGTATAAAGGTAAAGGGAAGTTTAACAATAATCAAGGACAAAGATATTATAATTCCAAACATGTGGTACATGATTTTGCTCCTGGAATTCTTGGGACTTCGTCTTCATTCAACAGTGGTGCATCTTCTTCAAATGTTATATGTCAGATTTGCTCTAAACAATGACATTCTACTGTAACTTGTAAATTTAGAGATGTTGAGCCTGTTGAGCCTTGTCAAATCTATGACAGGAAAAATCATACTGCAAGAACTTGCTTCTTTAGGAATAAATTTCCTAATCAAGTCTCACGCATGGTAGCCATGAACACCACGTACTCACACTCAGTGTCATCCAATCACATGATGCCTTCTGCAATGTCCAACTCTGTACCTTTGTCCACCACCACACAATATTCGCTCGAAGTTTGGCTCACTAATTCTGGGGCCACAAACCACATGACTACTGATATGGGGAATTTGAGCTTGGCATCACCATATCCAATTACTGAAACTGTCCAGACTGCAAATGGGGAAGGTTTGCAAGTGTCTCACATAGGCACATCTTTCTTGAGGACCTCACATCATCCTTTGAAACTGAATTCAGTTCTTTATGTGCCAAGATTGTCTCATAATCTTTTATATATGCATAGATTATGTTTAGACAACAATTGT